GTGTGTGTGTGTGTGTGTGTGTGTGTGTGTGTGTGTGTGTGTGTGTGTGTGTGTGTGTGTGTGTGTGTGTGTGTTTCTTTCCAATCATTGTATCTTCTATGAATAAGGCAGATGTTCTCTTTAGTGAAGACAAGAGAGAGCATTGTATGACATTCATTCACAAGCCTGTAATTGTTATCTCTGCTCTCTGATTACATATAAAGATATCACTCACAGTGTGTAGCCACAGCACATTGTAACATTAGCAGCAGGGCTTAGCCATAGCATAATGTCCCTGATATAAATTGCTAGGCGATATAAAAATCATACTGCAATGTCGTTGCTATAGCAACACAATACTTTACACTTGGACCTTTTTGCTAAAAGGTTAGCAAAAAATAAGTAAAGAAAATAAAAAGCATGAATTCTGACTTGTAATAAATATAACATTTCTGTAACCAAATTAGAATTCATTATAGGTTTTTAATTATTATTAAAAGCTTCAGGTTTCTACAGTACGAAGGAGTATCAGGACCACGTTAAGGAAAAAAATCGATCATTTTGAGAAAAAGGACAAAATGTTGAGAAAAAAGTTGAAATGTAGAGATTATAGTTGTTGTTTGAAAACAAAGTGCCACAGTTGCTATTCCTCGGAGTCAGCGAAATCATACTTCAGAATCAGTTTTAGTAACGAGGAAGGAAATGATTTCCCTTTTAGCACATAAACATATTGTGGTGATCAGTATAAGTGCTGTGAAATGATTTAGCAGAAAGAAAAACACACAAACTCACAAGCGCGGATTCATACAAAATAAAATGACTGGCAATGGACAGATACGCCCTCGTGCAGTAAAGAGGATGTATGTTGTGTCACAAATTCATCTAAACAAGGTATTTTGTAGAGGGTACAGCAAACGTAGCAGTTTGTCTTGACACAACAATGGTAATCTCCACATGCTGACTTTTCTCAAAATAGATTTTCCACTTTAATTTTGACTTTATTCTTAAACTGATCAACAATATTTTCTTCTTAATGTGGCCCTAATACTCTGTTGTACTACAGATTTACAATATAACAGGAAAATGGGAAACTTGTTTAAGAGGCCTAACCCTGCCTAATGGTTTTTTATCCATTTACACAACTGCAAAGTCTGCCAGTGTTTCTCCTTCCATTTTCATTTACAGTCTAGCCTTGTTTCAGTTGTCCCATAGTCACTTGTTGGCGTGTTCATGGGTAATTGCAAATTGCTTTCAAACCTTATTTACTTCCCATAGGTCAAGGCCACTTCATAGTTGGTCATGGTGACCTCCAAATCTATCATGAGCTCACAGCTCAGTTACTTCACCTGAGATAAGCTTGGACACGTCACAGTGTAGTTCAGATTGCTTACCAAGTTTTTGTCAGAATTTTTTAAAACGTAATTTTAAAGATAGGTGTGATGATACTTAATAACCTTGTTGTGATCATATCATTCAAAGATTTGGGAAACACACAAGAGCAATAAGCCCAACTGTTTTATTCTAACTTCAGTCATACAAACCTAAGAAACTTGCTAAAAATCACCAATCATTTCAGTGCAGATCACACCTGCTAGCTCAGACCTGCAGTGAAGTGAGGAACATAAACAATACTTTCTACTGACTTTTTGGGTGAGGAGAATGAATTCTGTGCTTTATCAGACTGTACTAGACCTGCAGCTACCCTGTACAGAACAACACTGTCATAGTTCTTTGATTCAGCAGCTGGTGTGTCACTGACCTGCACACAGTCTAGCAGCATACCAGCCGTCACCATGCCCAGCCCTGCCAGCAGGTATGAAGGCAGCACCTGAAGGCAGATCACCCTTGATGACTCTCTGCAGGAAATGTGAAGCTTTGGCTCCTCCATCTTTTCAGGACAGGGCAGCTATACAGCTTCTAAGATTGATGTTTGATCTGCAAAGCTGCCAATGATCAGTGCTCACACAATCCAAACTGCTGCCAACCAGAAGAGCCCAAAGCTGTTTGAACTTCAATCGGTCAACCTGTCCTCCACACTTCTCTGTGATAAACGCAGGTATCTGTGCTAACGTGTGTTCAGTTGTTCTGTCTAGCAGAAAAACACATGATTTGTTCCTGTTTCTTTGGTTTAATCTATGAAAAAATGCCATTGATAACATAGTTTGACAGTTATAAAATAGTATTTTTGAAACAACAAATTGTTTACCAAAGAGCTACTAACCAAAATTTATAAGAGTCAACATGCTTTGCAGTATGTATGCAAGCAATTTTGCACAAACTGGACAAGTGGAAGACTAAAAGAACATGTGACAGGCCTGACAAACTATCTACAGCAGAAGAACAGTAGCAAGTCATAAGAAACTGGAAAAAAAAAATTCAGCAAAGACCTGAGACAGTACATGCGTGATGCATCTCACCTTTCACCTGATCCATCTAATTTTTGCTCAGTCCTCATCAGAAATGATCTGCGGGGTCTTAAGTAGTCATACGTAAGAATGGCAAATGGGGAGAAAAGACTGATCGATGCCTAATTACACAAGAACTGGACTGAAAATTGGTGCCAACCAGTCTGATGGAGTGATTAGTCCAAATATAAAAGTTCTGGTTGGAGTTATTGTCAAAATTGAGAAAATTATAAATGCGAGTACCAAGATATCTGGAAACTGTCAGATTGACAGGGATTTTATTTTTCCAGCATAACAAGGATCCCAAACAAATGGTCAAAGAAAAAGCATACGTGGATAGACAAACACAGAGTGGACCACTGAAAGTCATGCATTGGCCTCCCAGAGCCAAGAACTATTGTGGGATCATCTTGACAAAGAAAGGAACAAAAGGCAGTCAACATCCAAAGAAGAGCTTTGAATGTTCTTCCAGAAGCCTGGAGAACTATTCCTGAAGACTACTTCAAGAAAGCACAAAAAGAGAAGTTCAGTCTGTATTGAACAATAAAATGAAGGACTGTCGTTTGCCTAGCTAAATGTAATAACAAGAGGGGTGGCAAAAGCTATTTTCACAGTACTGTAATACAACTTTTAACTACTAGCTCTAATGCTATCATCATCTCTCCTTTTAAGTCTGCCAATGGATCTGTCCATCTTCATACATAAATATGTAATATGTTGGAGTTCAATGTATCAATGGCTAGCTGGTGCTGCTTAATTCATTACCATGCTATGTCTGATATAACCCTATTTTCCCACATAACAAAAAACAAACAACCTTAATAAATAAGTATCGTCTGCAGCCCCCGTGACCCCTACCAGGTTTGCAGCTATCACAGGGCGAGAGGTGGGGTACACCCTGGACAGGTGGCCAGTCTATTGCAGTAAGGTTACCCAAAACTAAAAAAAATAGTCCTTTTTCAAGAAAACAAAAATGGATTACCAATTTAAAACTGTTCTGCAGCAATGAAGATTGATCAAGTCTTGAAATCTGGTGCTACTAATTCCTACAGGTGCTCCAACTTTTCTGGATGACTTACTCCTCTGTCTGCATAAAAGCAGTATTAGAACACACTGTTGTATCATACCCTTGTGAGCATCAGTTGAACACTATTGTACTGCAGAAAGTAATGTGTTGATACAAAAATGGCGAGAAAAAGGCAATTAACAGTGGAAGCGAGACAGACCATCATAACACATAAAAATGTAGGTCTTTTCTACAGAGAAATTGCAAAGAAAGTCAAGGTGTCAGTGAGTACAGTTCCTTCACCATCAAACGGCACTCAGAAACTGGGAAACTCTGACAGGAAGAGATCTGGCAGACCCAAAGCCACAACTGAATCAGAGGACAAGTTTCTGAGAGTTAACAGCTTGTGTGATAGGCGACAGGACAACAGCTTCAAGCACAGCTTCATAGTGGTCGTAGTAGCAAGTCTCAGTTTCAACTGTGAAGAGAAGACTTCGAGCTGCAGGTTTGACAGGACGAGTTGCAGCAAGAAAGCCTTTGTTAAGATGTCAGAATAAGACTTGGCTTGCCTGGGCCATGAAACAACACCATTGGACTACTGAAGACTGGAAGAAGGTGTTATGGATGAATCAAAATCTGAAATCTTCGGTTCATCACACAGGATCTTTGTGAGCCGTCGAGCAGGTGAAAGGATGGTGCCACAGTGTGTGGCATCAGTGTGATGGTCTGGGACTTTTTGCTGGATCCAGGGTCGGTGACTTGTACAGAGTGAGAGGCAGCCTGAACCAAAGCGGCTACCACAGCATTCTGCAGAGCCATGCAGTACCCTCTATGCACCTAGTTGGTCAGGGGTTCATCCTACAGCAAGATAATGACCCAAAACACGAGTCCGAGCTATGACAGAACTACCTCAGGAAAAAAGAACAAGATGCTAAGCTTGAAAACATGGAGTGGTCAGCACAGGCTCCAGACGTAAACCACATCAAGCTGGTTTGGGATGAACTGGACAGAAGAATGTCTGAAGAATATTTGATTTAAATTGTAGAAAGAACACGGGTGTGTTCAGCTGTTATATCTGCCAAAGGGGGCTACTTTGATGAGTCAAAAGTTTAGAATTTTGAACCATGATTTCTTTTTTAACTCCAATTACTTATTTGTACTATGCTGAAACGAGATATTGAACTGCATAATTTTCAACAAACTGGAAAAATTGGGGTGTTCTAAAACTTCTGACTGGTAGTGTAGGTGATAAAGGCATCATTGAAACCCGTCCTCAGCCAATACACAAAATAAACTTGAAATTTTCAACATTTTTTTTGCATCTCTGTGACTATTTATTTCAAGCCTAGTATCACCATACACCAATCTAGTCTAAACAATTAAAAATTCCCCTTTTCATAGTGTTTTGCTGCTGCAGTATGTTTCACCATTTTTAAGCTTGTAAATAATTACTGTTTCAGGTCAGCAACTATAAAGAAACAAGACAGGCATCTTCAGAGAACAGAGACACCGTCCTTCCCTGTCTGCTATAAATAAACACTCATCCCATCCTCAGTTAGGGTCTCATGTTATATGTCAAGTGCTGAGATCAAAGGGTGTGAGCTACAAATTGGAGGTTATCGTCCAGATCTGGCTGTCAGTGGAGTCCCTTAGGCTGTTTATGGAATTATCTTTGCTAATTATTAACTGTTGGTGGCTTGCTATATCTTTATTAATACAAACCTCTCTAGAGTCTAGATAGAGAGATATAAAGAGGGTTTTTTATTTTCATTTTGGCTAAATATGTCTAGTCAGCCTTCCCGTGGAATCTCTGGCATTTGCTGGCAGAGGTGGTCTCCTCCTCTTCTCTGTCATGTGGTTGCAGCTGGGTTCATAGCAAGTCCCGCATAGTGAACTAGGTCACACGCAAGAGACCTGCTCAACAACAAACACTGCTGTAAAGGTTTGATCCTGCTTGAACCAGTATAGCACAGAGCAATTTTAGATTTTAAGCATTTGAAAGATCATTTTGTCAAATATGTTTTGTGTAGAATTGGTGAATGCTTGTAGACTGTATGAGCAGTTTGTGAATGAAATGTTTGGGTTATGCATTGGTTGCTTTGTTTCTCAAGGTGTTTCAGTTGTCACAAAAATGGATGGGGCTTCTTGTGAGAAGTCTTGGAACCAGCTTCAGTTCATGGGTGGCTCCAACAATGTATCCTCAACTAGAACCATCCGGCTACGGGACATTTATGATCCCAAACCTCAACCTCCCAAAGCCCCCGTCCGGATCCGCCCTCCAAGTCCAAGACCTCCACCCGTGAAGGAGCCCAGTTCAAGGCAAAGTCTTTCCAGCGATCCCTCAACCAAGACCATCATAAGGAGACGGGCTCAGTCTCTTCCATCGTCTGCAGAGCGCAAAAAGGAACTTAGGAGTGTACAGGTACGCTTTGTGGACTCACTGGGTCTTCAGTTAGAGGAAGTTAAGGTTTTCAAAGTTCAAGAGTGTCCCATTATACCCCAACATGTTATATTCAGGCTGCTGATGAGCTCTGAATTGGCTTTTGGGAAGTCCCTGGAGCTGTCACTGCCTTACTTCAAACCCTGTTTTCCTGAAAATATGGGTGCGCAGCCGGACTTCCTGACACGGCTGCACACACAGCGCGTGTGTCTTGAGCAGATCCTATGTTCAGAGCAGGGGATAACAGGCACCATACAAGTATTTAATGTAGCCTATGAGAAAGAAGTCACAGTACACTACTCTTACACCAACTGGAGAACACACGCAAATACAGCAGCATCCTGGCTATCGAGTGTATACCGTGAGGGGTGTGACTCTCCAGTACTGGATGTCTTCAGGTTTCGTCTTCCTGTCCCACCGTTCGCTTTGCAGCCAGGGGCTAGCTTGGAATTTGCAATCTGCTACCACGTAAAAGGATCTGATTACTGGGACAACAACAACGGCAATAATTACAAACTTTCATGCCACAGCTACAAGGTGACCGTGCCAAGGGAGTGTGAAGATAGCATGCTACATTTCACCTGAGCAACCACATGGACGCGTGGAGAGGATGACACTAAATCCTTTGCAGCCAAACTTTTATCTATTATATTGCATTGTGTGGTGGACTGGAACTAAGTAAGCACAATTTCTAGGAATTTGCACTCAACCAACTACTTTTAAATATTGCTAACATGCAAATTCTTCAGTTTATACCATCTACAAAAGAGCTAACATTAAAACCACCTGCCTCCAGTTATATAATTGTGCTGGGCAGTATCCAGGCAGAACACTGCATCTTAATAAGACAATGTTGTTTTTCACTTTATCTGTAATTAGTTTTAATGCTTTGTATGTTCAGTTACCGTTCAGAATGTCCATATTTTTCACAATATTTCAGCTCCATGTATCATTTTGGATGCTAAAATTTTGCTTTCACAGTAAGTCAAACAGCATGTCCTCCACCTCTCATGCACAAGTAACATCTTCTTGTGTGAACCAGTCATTTAGTAATTTTGTGCCAAATGTACTAGAAAGTGGTGTCTCAATGGGCTGCCGTGAAATCTGAAAGAAGGTGCTGTGGGATTTTTAACTTCCTTGATAAAGTTTTGAGCTATTGGGCTATTAAAAGGTACTCAATGTGAATTCCAGTTTTTAAAAATAGTTTAAAATGTTCTACATTTACTTAAATCAGATTGACAGAATACAACAGCAGCTATGACACCAACTGAAGCTGAACTAGTGCCATGCTCAAATTTAGTGTAGTTTGTAGCTGAAGTGAAAGATGGCACAGTATGCTATATTTAAACAGGCAATGATTTTAAAACAGATTATTTTTCCATGCTGGTCTGGGAAAAGATCTCTTGAGGAACCTCAGTAGGTTTTGATAGAGATATTAAATCTTTGAGACGACACACCTGCTGGTAAAATGCTCCCCAACGTCTACAGCTCTTCAGCGGTTTACAAATGAAACCTTAAAAACAGACAGTGGAATAAGATGAACATGAATATAATGATGCCATTCAATTTATCTGATCAGCTGTCTTGTGTGTGTTTTGGTGAATTTGGTTTTGTAATCTGAATAAAAAAGTGTCAATTGGCATAAATCCACATTGTTTGTGAGCTTATATTATAAAGTATTTAAAAAAATAAAGTGTACACACTGGGCCGAGACAACCCTGATGACATGACCTTGTAACAAATCAACACAACCTGGTGAGTAAAATGTGTGCCGCTGCATTTGAAGTCAGGAAAAGATCTGCATGTTCCTACTGGGCTTTTATTTAGACAAAGCCACCGCCACCTCTGCACAAACGCACAAAATATTTTGCTCACTCTGCACTTTAACAAGTCTGGTGACCCATTTTCGTGACTGACAGTCTGAGTCGTCGCATCTTAACGCAGAAACTGCACAAGGTGATAAAACCTATTCTCTGTGCTGATTTCACACAGACAGAGTGGACGTCGTGAGCTGCTGGCTACACATAAGCTGCTTGTGCACTTTCTGCTTGACCCCATTCCTCTGGAGATCATTTTGTTGTAGGGAGAGCCTTAGATCCCAAACAGTGCTGACCTTTGACCAAGAAGTTTCCATAAATATGAGAGCACAGATTCCAGAGCACTTTCTGGCAGGCGGTGGTGTTTAGCTCACAGGAGGATATGTTTCCACCTGCATTAGTCGCCACAGCTGTGTGGCATGCTTTACACATGACAGCAGCTATGAGATGTGACCACCCAAGACCTCACAGAGCATATCAGGCAGGCATTTAAATACACCTGAGTATTTCCTTCTCCTGTTTCTTCACATTAATCTGATTAATGGATTTACTTTCTAGATCGTGCACTGTGGTTAATATGATTCTGCTGAAACAGTGGAAAACATAATCCATACAATACATATTTATGTATATCTTAAATGAGACCTAATATGAATTTCTTTATTTTCCGTCATATACATACTGTATAATATTACAGCGGTTCATATTTAAAAAGGATTCAAAACAGAGCAAGGTAACGTTTAAATTGTCAGTATAAAAAAGCAGGCTGCAGATTTTTGGAACAATCGTCATGTCTCATTATCTTCTATGTGATTTGTAAAATGTCTGAAACGCAAAAAATGCCAACCACTCCTCATTTACTCACACCAGGGAATGCTGATATTTTTGTGGGGCACTAGATGGCGCAATTGCTCCAACTGTATGTTGATTTGAAATCCAGTTACTAAGTTTCACATTTTTGTTTAGGGTATGTGATGGAAAATTTCAGACAAAAGCCGCCATGAAAAAACCCAAAAACCTCTGTTACAGAAGTGAAATGTTCCATTTCAAATGTTTAAAAGTAGCAACAAAAACAACATCAAACAATCAAAGCAGTTATAGCTTTAGTTACATTTTTATATGTTGCCACTGGATCATTGCTATATAAATACATACACGTAATACTCCAGGTGAAGCAAATTTAATCTAGCTTACACGTTTTTTGGGAAGGGGGACTTAAGATGTAACAATATCTCATATATGATGGGGTTGTTATGCGCCTCTGCAACTTCTACTATTCTTGCAATACAAATTATAAACTCTGGTGCCTCCACTTTATAATGCTGTGAAGAAATATAAAATTATGATTTCATTTATTAAGGGATGAAAGCCATCCAAGCCTACCTGGCTCTATGTGAAAAACTAATTGTCCCCACTTATTAAATCATGAATCAACTTTGATCGACCACATTTTTGAAAACCTCAGTTCAGTGTCCCCGAGTACTGCCAATCAAGAAATCACTTAAATAGAAGCTGTCTGACAAAGAGAAGTAGGCTGAAAGATCTCAGTCAATCATGCCACAATAGAAAGAAACAGCTGAGAAACAAAGTCATTGACATCCATCAGCCTGGAAGGGTTACAAAGCTATTTCTTAGGCTTGGAGAGACGTTGGGACAGTGGCGGGCCTTCCCAGGAGTTGCCGGACTACCAGTTACTCCAAGAGCACATCGACGACATGGGGTGGGAAGTTGTAAGAATTTCTCCATTATTATTCCTTTATCAATATTACTTATTGATTACATTCCTTACCAATTTTCTTACCAGTTGCCGTTGGGTTCTCATTGACAATCACCACCAGAAGCAACATTTCAAAGACGTTTCATTCATCCAAATTGACTGCATGCTGTGTAGTTCAATGTTTGTACATGTTGTGATCAGTGTCGGGGTTGTTACTCAAAAAAAGTGAAGTTTTACACATATTATACAGAACACTTTTTGTAAAAGTAATGCAGTATTATTTCCAGGAGAAAATCATTTTTATACTATTCAATACGTTACTTTCATGTTTCTCCTTAAAATAATGTGAAAACATTGTCTCATAATTTCCATTTAACAATATAAACTTGAAGGCTCCAGTCTACATAAAAAAACCCCCATAAAACCATAAATTTCACACTCAGGGGTTGGGGACCGCTGCTCTATGTTACCACTTTTTCATCACTTTCCCCTTTCTCATTTATAGTCCATTGTCTGTCTTCATCTATTTATGCCCTCACCCCAACCAGTCAGGGCAGATGGCCACCCCTTCCTAAGCCTGGTTCTGCTGGAGGTTCCTTCCTGTTAAAAGGGAGTTTTTCCTTCCCACTGTCACCAAAGGGCTTGCTCATAGGGTGTCATATGATTGTTGGTTTTTTTCTCTATTTTCTTTGTTTACTGTAGGGGCTTTACCTTACAATATAAAGCGCCTTGAGGTGACAGTTGTGATTTAGCACTGAATAAATAAACTGAATTGAACTGAACTGAATTGAATAGCTGTTGTGCCAGTGTGGTGTTGCTGTTGTTGAGACACACTTGAATGCAGCCTTCCAGCGCTCTGGCTTTATTTTTGGGCCGTCATCTTGCGCTTGTTGTCGGTAGTTATATAAGAAGACACCATATTAGGAGCCTGCATGATGATCGGTGCTGACGTTCGCTTTGTAGACTGGCTTTGACTGAAATGTAAAAATTAATGGATTCGTTAGGATTCAAATAATTACTGTAACATCAAAAAGTCAGGAAGAAATGTATGTTTTCTGAGATAAAGGAGTTGTGTGACTTGTAATAGCAGTTTATTTTTTGTGTTCATCATGTGATTGATTTCCTCAGATTGCTTCTACAGACGCAACTGCGTGGTTGAAAATAGCAGCTTCCGGGTAAGCGAGCTCCAACACATGACAACATTTGACTGTTTCAGGAGCAGATAGTCGTCACGCTTACCCTTGGCTACAAGCTGCAAAGCATATGTTCACCATGTGTGTTTGCCGCTGGACTTCAGCCATCTGAGGGACACTCCGGAAATCAGGATATCCCCACATGCCTACGAGAGCATCCCTTACTCCTCCCACGCACCTCCACAGGTTTGGACCGGACTGCACCACCATCAGTGTTTCATTACTACACACAGCGAGAGGTCCTTGAGTATAGTGCACCTGCCATCTGCTCCTCCCAGGACAAAGCCGGTGACTCATAACGTGTATGTTTATGTCAGAGAGGTGAAAGACACGGATCACGGTGTGTATGAAAAATGTGCCCATAGCCACTGCTCGTGTTTTAAAGCCTCAGCGGAAACAATAAAGGGGAAAAAAAGAAGGGAAAAACATTTTCTATGTCACAGTGACAGTGTTTTGATGCCGACATCTTGGCTTTTTGGAACCGGAAGTGTACCAGAAAAGCCCCAAGAGCCACAGCTTAAGTTAGCAAACTATATTTAGCTAGCTATATCTGTAAACTATAGGTGTGGGGTAAGTAACAGAAAATTGTGAAATAGAAATTCACTCACCTAAACTGCAGCAGAAACTTTGAGCTGGCGGACTGACCTCAGTAGTTCATAGGCTCCAGTTAGCAGACAGATTAGCACATCTGTCAGTCAAACTAGCCACGCCTCTAACGTTAACATTAAAGTTAGAAATTCATTACATTTAAAAATAGAGGGTATATCCAAAATAAAGTAAATACAGGGCCAGTGCTCTAAATACCGGTACCAATACTTTTACACTGTAAAGGCAGTTTAAGGGGAGAGCAGTGTCACGACTCATGACTTATGAGATGAATCATCATCAATTTGCAATTTCTTCACACGTTTAAATAACGACTAAATCGCTGTGATTTTTACTTTCTGCAACAATTAGTTAACACAACAAGCACATCTTTCAGCTCATCATTTATTCTTAAACTGGGTTTTGTTTTTGAGACCTGGGTCGTAAACATGCCTGTCTCTAAAGGACTGCGTCAGCTTCTGTTGTTTAAATGTACTATAGGCTAGGGCTGTTCATATATATCGATGATGATATAAAAACGTCTATCGTTTCATTTTACGCTATCGTTTGTTTCGTGGTGTCGCAAAATAAACTGTTTACGGCAATATTTTTTCATTATTTTGATGGTCACTGTAGTGGCTATATTAATTTCTTCAAGTTCTCTCTTTCTCTTATATTTAATATAACCACACTACAGACGGACAAGTGCTTGTTTTTATGTGTTGTGTTAGCAACAAGGACGGTAACAGCATCGCGTGTCCGCTTGTTTATTTTCCACTTAAACCTTTCAAATTAAAGCTCAAGATCCTGTTGAGACTTTTCAAAATAAACTGAATCACGTGAAAGATGCAGAGTGTTTACGGATGAGAAGTAAAAAAGAGCCGCCAGGTGCTAAAAAATAAACCTTAGACTCAAACGTTAGAACAGGCTTTTCCCCGCAGCACGCCGTGTAATAAATACTCACAAAGAAAACGGCGGCCGTTACAACTTATGTCTAAAAATGTATAGTTTCATGCATCGGTTAAAACACTCAACTCCAGCTACTTGACGCGCAGCTGGAAACACTTCACGCAAGACGAGCTGCCCGAGATTCACAGAATTTACAGAAAATGTAAAAATTTTGTGATTTATATCGTTATCGGACGATAGAATTCTTATATCGGGATATGAGATTTTGGTCATATCGCACAGCCCTATTATAGGATATAAATTAAATTGACATGGCAGTCAACACAAGAAAAATAATTTAACACAATTCAGTGGTCTACATATTGACCTTAGATGATAGTAAAAGTATTGATCCTTTCACACTAGTATTGATTGAATATAAATACAAGAGTTAGCTTCGATACTATCGATTTTTGGATTGATCCATCCACCGCTTAAGGAGGGAAACTAACCACAGAGACCAGACATTTTGTGTAGCAGGTTGTGAGGTAGTGATTTAATAGCTGAAGATGGGCCTATGAACATGGTCGTCTGAAGACTTAAGAACCTCTGCTTTATAAACCCCCTGTTACATAAAGTATGTTAGTGAGATAGTTCTAAACGGTGAAAAAACATTTGTTTGGGTAAACCTCTTTCTTCTGGCAGTTCTAGCTCCATTTTTCAACTGTAGTGAAATACCATACTGTAAATATTAGGGACTTCATCACAGCATCTGCCAGTTTGATTAAAGTCCCCCGATAGTCCCAACCACGGCAACCAGCTCCTAACAATAAATACTTTAACAATGCTTTTAACATCTAGTTTGGAAACGGAAATGGTTGTCATCAAGGGACAGTGTCCTCGAGTAAATCCTTAGCTGACCAATCGGCATGCATTGCAGAATGATAGCGTAGAATGGGAAAAATTGGCTTTTGCAAGAAAAACAGCAGGAAATAGGTGTTATTTACATTTCGGACACATTAGCAATAATGTATTTGGGAAGAACTAAAAATCTAGACGCAGGTATAAATAATCGTTTTAGCCATTTAGCTTTTGTCTCTGTTCACTTCTATTCCCTGAGAGTCAGTGAGAGGGTCAGCAGGAAGTACTTCATTTTTCAGCCTCTGATATTTCCACTTGACTGAAATGTTACATTAGGAGGGTTAGTTTATTTTTTATTATTTTTTTTTAATATCAGGTAAGAGGCTTCTAATCTCTGAAAGCGGCTTTTCACTCACCTCACTTGCACCTGCTTCGCCTACCATTTTAATGCGTTTGTCATGTAATATTCAGGTTTGACACAACGGCTCGTTCTTATTCCTGTTCCTGTGTCGCCGCATTAAAGCTTATTAGATCAGCAGCTCGCTGCAAATTGGACAAATGCAGTCAGGTGAGCTTGTTTTCACGAGGGAGTTTAAACCCACATGACGTCCCCGGCACAGAGAGCCATTTGTGCGAGGATGACAGCGTAAGGATAAGAAACAGGTCACTGCCTGCATTCTGCCAACTAATTGCTGCTTCATCTGATGTGATGAGGTGAACTTCACTCAAATGTTATAAATCTAAAACTGACATAAATCTAGGGGATTACAACCCATTCATCAGCCGTAGCCAGCTATCATCCGTCAGCCTAATTCTGACCTCTGTGAGGAAAAAAACAACAACTTTGAATCACATTTCTAAAATATCCCACATATCTCTTGTGCTTTTTGATATTAAAATATGATCTGAAACACACACAATGTACACACAAGACCAGGAGAGTTTGTTTTTACAAATTTGAAAGCCTGTATTGTGCAGACAATAAATAGTGCTTACAAAGGGATTTTCATCTTGTACACAGACAAGGTTTCTGTTTAAGAACATGTACACTGTCGATATGAAAATCATCATCAACTGAATCAGCGAGACTCCGACACAGCTCGGGGATGTGACTACTGATACTGGAGTGGGATTGGTCGACTCGGTCACATGCACGTGCCCCCCCTCCCGTGTCAAAAAAAAGCGTCTTTTAAAAGAGTCCGTTTACAAAAACAAAAAGAAGTCAATGCTTTGTTTATTATGGCGAATGCGCAACCTCAGCTCTTCCTGCTCCGCTGACAAGGTGAAGTGAGGGTTAAGGAGATGGTCTTCTGAGCAGAAGTGGAGCTTGCTGCATGCCCCCCCGTCCTTCTGCTGGCAGATCCATTTCTAGAGACATAGCCTCCAAAGGTTCAACGGACCCAAATATCAGGACACCCAGTGGCTGCAGGCCAATGGAAGACTTTGTGCAAGGTCTTCACTGACGGAACCAGATTTAAGCAACTCTTCACAGAAGAAACCTTGCTAAGGCCGGTGGAACCTGCGATGCAGAAAAGGGGGGAAAGAGTGAGCATGGTTTCATCAATCAACAGTCCTATTATTACCAAATGGACAGGGCACTTAAAAAAATGGGGTCTTGCGTAAGCACAACCCCAGCTAATTCTTTTTTTTTTTTTAGCTACAGACAGTCCTGACAGAAGCAAAACGTAAGCTGAATATGTGCGGACATTCATTATAGCCGAGAGGTGGTGCAACTTTTTTCCCCCCCATCTCAAGGGCCCCGGCTGCAGCTAAATTTAAGCTCTACTCTGCAGGGTGTGCACTCATTGATGTTGAATAATGCACTTTCCATTCTTTGCACAATGTCAAACCGAACCCTGTCCGCTAACAGTAAAGCTAGCAGAAATATAAAGAAAGGAAGCACCGGTGACGCCGTGCTCACACACTGACCTTGTCAGATGCTTGCTCGAAGAATGAACTTCCATCTCGTTGCTTTTGAACTCGTTCAGCTCCTTCCGTATCGCCGCCTGCGAAAACAAAAGCAACATCAAGCGTGAGCCCAGGTGTGCCCTCCCTCGAAACCCAAACGCGGTCGCTCAGGTGGTGGAGCTCAAATTAGGGGGGAACATCTGTTGTTTGGGCTCAGATTATGTAAGCTTACATGGGTTTTTAGGAAGTGAAAAAAAAAGTGAAAGTGGCCCAAACTGAATGCAAATAAATGCGCATTAATGGGAAACCAGGAGCAACAATATAACCATCTTCCTCCTCTCACCCCTACCAGTCACAACAGTTAGGTGACCCTGCCTGAGTATGGTTCTCTTCCTGTTAAAAGGGAGTTTTTCCTTCCCATTGTTGCCAAGAGCAAACTTATAGTTCTGACTGTTGGTGCTCTCTCTGTTATTGGAAGGTCGTTACTTTACAGTTTAAAGCACCTTGAGGCAACTGTTACTGTGATTTGGTGCCATATAAACAATTTGAATTGATCTGAATTATGTGATGGATTAACCAATTGCAAATTTATTATTTATTGGGTCAAGAAGAAACACTGTCCAATAGGATCTAATGATTGGCAATCATCCAACAATCAAATACCGGATGCTAAATCATCTTTTTTATAAATACCCTCCAAAAAAAGGGGACAACACAACAATTAAACAAAAAAAAAAAAAAAAAAAAAGAGACGTTTAAAGACTATGTGCTTTAAAAAAAACAACAACAGTGAAGAAGTTTCAGCTACCTTGTCAGCAGCTGACAGTCTGGTCCAGGGCTTGTCGGCTCTCCTGTCATAGTCCTGAGCTTTGGCCACTTCCACATAGTCGCTGAAACGAATTAGGATCTTTCTGTCCCGCAACTCATCTACCGTCGGCCGCTGGTTCAACTGGAAAAAACAAACAAAAACAACCAAATGGTTTCAGCTTATTCATGCAATCAATGGAATTGGTGATAGAAGCTAAATATTTTTTATAAAGCAACAGTGAGTGTGCTGTTGGGGTTCCTGCGGTGAACACAAACATGGGAAATTCTTACCTTTCTGTTCAGCCGCTGTTTGATCTCCCTCCTCTCCTCCTGCTCAGTCTGGTCATTTCTCTCTGTTAACACATGAAAGGACAAACATTAGATGTGAAAAATGAGGCAAAATGATAGACGCTCAGGTAATCTGTCTGTGATTAACAGAGCCAGTGTGTCTGATCCTCCTTGCAATCAATATCCCCTAGTGAGCCAGCGTGCAGCAGCGCTCAGGAGAAGGAATGCAAGTCAGTCAGAGAGCGAGACTGGAGCAGATTAGGCCTCTAATAGGATTCATCTTTATTATACAGCCCAGAGATCCCTCGATGTCACTTCATTTATTTTTAATCTCTTGTTTCATTTGAAATTTTGGTCAACTAGTCTGGCAGCTTAAAGCGGGGCTGGCACCTGAGCGCATTTCTTTCTTTTTCATTCAACAGGAAAACACGATTCCAAATATTAAATTTTTTTGAATGTTCTGTGCTAGACAGTGCGTGTCATGCCAAAGGGGTAGCTGTTTGGCTTAAACACATGCCCCTGTGTGGAGAGAGAAAGGGGCAGCTGTTGAGGGCTCACAGGTGGCTCAGAGACACACAGATGTACAAAATCTAGGTCTCCTCACACACTCTTTCATAAGCGTTCTGTTCTTTCAGGGCAGCGGGACTAATTCCGCTGCTTGGAGCGCTACAATCAAACAATTTCTTGCTGCAAAAATGCAGTTAGAACCACAGTGAAGTATGTTCTTATTACTGGGACTGCACGGGAACAATTTCCACATAATACGTGGACACTGTGTAATCAGAGGGGGACCGTTATCTGCTGAAAAAAGAGAATTTGGCCATGATAACTACAGCCTCCTACAAACAAAAAGCAGAGCTGCCATTCTCAATTCAATTCAATAAAACTTTATTGATCCTGAAGGTTGACTCCGAAGGAAATTGGGTAATGACTGATTATGAAGCTTTCCGTCATTATCCACTTATTTAAAAATATTATCTATTTGTCCATGTGGCATGAGAGTCCAAAGTAACTTATTAAAGTAGTATTAAAGATATATGAAACGACCAAAGTCTGAAATAAATAAGAAGTGGACCATTAAGTCAATGTAAACTCCGGGAGCACCTGACTGTAATATTACAATTAGGATCAGAAACTTCGTTTTTTAAGACGCAGGCCTGCCATGAAGTGGGAGTGGAAAGCTCCGTGGATGCTCGCTTTACTTACGTTTCAAAATGTTCCGGCTCTCCAGCTCCTCCACTGCCGGCCTCTGGCTCAGTCTCCTGCGGAAAAACACCAGAATTACGTTCTGGACCATGTTTTCCTCCCACAGCACCCGTCAATAGTCTTTTCAGTCCTTTCACTGCTACTAGCACTTGGCGCGCTTGTGCCGGTGCGCAGAGCACCGAGATCCGCGCATCCAAAACGCGTTCCACCTCGAGTCCGACGCGCTGCTCGTTTTGGTCTTTGAAGTATTACAACTCCACATCGGGAACTCAAAGTCAGGCCCCGCGTTTCGCAGCTCCGTGGAAAGGAAATAATGTGAGATTGTCCCTGACAAAGCCGCTCCGTTTGGAGGCTGCTCGAGCAGACGCTGAGTTTAGAGAGCGAGGAGCGCTGGTTGGCTGCTCGGTGGAGTCCCCCGCGGACGTTCGGGGGATGAGGAGAGAGCTCTGCGATGCGCGCTGAGTGGACTGAGAGTGGTGCAGCACCGCCTGCCTCCTTTTTAGCTCACTACTAATGTGAAGGGGTGGGACTGAGGAGGAGATTCCCTGTGTACCCACTCACACGCAACACACGCACACACACACACACACAGACGGCTGCGATGAAGCGAGCTGTTCTGTATTGAAACACGTTTACAGGATCAGGGGCATTTCCAGGAATTTAACATGGGGTGGTAGAGGAGCATCAACGAAAGAGGGGGATTAGAAGAAATATATAACAAAAGGGGAAAAAGAAAATTACTGCCTAAAATTTAGTGGACAATTTAGCAACTAACAATGCGGTTTTTTCTTTTATGGACAGACCAAGTACGCGTTAGTAACGACATTTTAACGACAAAAAAAAGCTATAAAATGCAGATCTGTTAGTTTATTCTCATTAACCGTTTAATTTTTTGTAAGGTAAAGATGCTACAGCCATACAGAGAAAATCCCTCTGAGCAATCACTTGGGAAGGAAAAACTTCAATTTTAGCAGGAAGAAACTTCCGGAACCAAATTCAGAGAGCGGTTGGGAGCGCAGGACAGGCCAGAAACATTTATTTAGCGCAAGAATTTCAGAAAACCGTGAAAGCTTAACCCCATTTGAAATCCTAAAATTGTGCGTTCTGCCCACTTCTTAAGACTTTTTCATTTTCAGCAAAGAAATGTAAGACAAAGGAAACATCCCCACTGTTGACAACCTCCAAGCAATACATTTTTTTCCCAATAAATTAATTAAATAAGTAACTGTTCTGCAATTGACTGGCCTAATCAGTCCAGCACTAACAATGCAGTCATGGTGGCAGATGCTCAGCCCTACATACAAGCTGTACTCATGTGTTAATTCCTTGCAGCTTTTGAGCGGTTTGACAGACTCAGATTTCTACACCATTCAACATCATCTGATGTTTATGATTCCCTTCTATCATACATTTCCGCCCTGCCACCTATACATATACAGATTCATAGAAAATGTTCATTTTTTCTGATTCTGTTTACATTTAGTTCTTTCAAAATAGGCTCAAGGTATTAAAAAGAAATCCTTGTTGGCTTCTACTGCTCTTTGCATATGTAGGACAGCATTAACAGACTGTCCAGCTGCTCAGAGGGGAAAGATTCCAGATGTGACAGCAGTTACAGCCACTAATGTGATGCAAAGTGATCCTGAACACTGCGCGGAGAAAAAGCACCTTCCCTCATTTAGCAAAAGGTTAAACTCTGCTGTCCCAACTTGTGTACAAAATAGTCCATCGCTGACCAAAGATTGTCTGAGGGAAGATAAGTCACTGTGTGGCACAGTCATAGCAAGCATTTACATACTGTACTCCTATCACCTCCAACAGACACATCGATATCTAGCTGATGCAGTCAGTTTTCACGTCTCCTTAATCCAGTTCAACTGTCATTAATATCATATAACGATTAAAAGCAGCCAACTTAAGTCAAAGTTCAGTAAATACCGGGGATCTCTGGCTTAAACATGAATCAGTGATTACTTTCAAATTCTGTTTTGAGTGCGTTGGGTAGCTGTTACTGTATCATGGTAAATGCATCATGTATGTATCAGAGTATGACTGTGCAAAAGTCCTTGTACTTGACCATTTTCAGAGGTTTTGTTTGTTTTAACACTAACCTATGAGTCATTCAACCATAAAAAAGGCATCAGACTCAAGGAATGAATCGATGTTTGTCTACACATAACAGACAACTTAGTAAAGAATCAGTTTTAAACAGTATCTTTAGACACTTTGTAACCATCAGTCTGTCTCAAAAACATCATTCATTCTGTATTTCTGTACCTGAATCTATGGAAAATGCCGCAGATAACACAGTCTGACAGGCATAAACTAGTATTTTTTAACCCAATGAGATATTAGCTGAAAATTTGGTGTATTTTAGCATGGTGTGCATTGAGTCTTTAAAAAATGTGAGGAAACTGGAAAAGTGGAGGCCAAAAAATGCACCGAGCAAATAACAGAAAAATTTCACAAGCTGCAGCATTTGTAGCGCAGGCCTAAAATAAGCCCGTCCTGTGATGGCGTCAGCTGTAACTGGGATCTCAGACGACTAGCAATACAGGACCACAGACGCGGCGGCACTGGAGGCCTGCAAGGAGTCAGCGTGCTAAATGGAGCGGAGCTGTACTTGGATGTGTGGCGTGCAGCACAAAACCGTTCAGGTCAGCAGCACTTCCCTTGGTTTGCGGAGCAAGTCATATGAGCTGCAGCAGGCGAAGGGATATCAGATGTATTTTGCGTTAGAAAATTTAGGTGCAGTGGATTAAAATCAAATACTTAATGCAAGCTGCATAAAAGCACGAGTGAGTCAGCCTGTTTTTGTATTTTGCCAAAAAATCCTAATGGGCTATTAGTCACAGACTCCTGCAGCGATGTGCGCTTCACAAGTGCTCGCCCACTCTGTTTGGGCAGAGGTAAAAGTTCCTTGTTTGTTGAAGAACTCACAAGCATGTCAAAGCGATGAGCCGCCTGTAAGAGCAGGGGCTGATGGGAATGTCAGCCCATAAAAAGTGGAGGAGAATGGGATGAGTCAGGCGCCACGGGCCAGGCGGCGGCCTGCTACTGCCCACTGAGGTGTGTCCTAATCCCTCGCTCCTTCCCCTCAGTGAGAGAGCCCGAGGACAGCGGTGCCACGCTCGGATGTGGAGTCTGAGTGAGCCCAGGATGGCCCTGGGGACCGAGGAGGTGGGGGCTTGTTGCTAAAGGAACCTTCTTTGTACCAGAAGCTCAATATTTATGTAACGTGGTTGTGGAGGACTCTGTTGTGTTTAAATGTTGACCTGGATATCTCTCTCTCTGTTGCTAGGTCCATCAAATATGAACGACTTTGAGGTCGGTCCTAGTTTGGTCAACAGTATATTCCATTACTGAGATCACTTCAAACTGAAACTCTATAACCTCTTAATTCACGTTAGAGCAAAGCTCCAGTAAATAATTCAGACATCCACCAACTAGCTTGTAAAGTTATTTTTCTCCTCAAAGCCTTGCTGTGCTATTGATGATCTATGAATGGGAGGCATTCAAACACTCCAAGACCAAGAATCAATTCTTTATCTAGACAGTTGTTGATCTCCAAGGCTTTGCCCTTTTCTTCAGGTCCACAGATCAAGTGAAGGATGATTTCTCACTTTTGAACAACCTGCTGGGAGCACAGTGTGCAAGAAACCATTTTATAATAGCTCAGTCTCTCTACAGGTTACTGTACATTGGCTATACACTTTTCACAATGAAGGCAGAACAGCATGAAATCAACCAAACCCTTCCAAACTAAATTCATTCTCAATCATTTCACTATCCCAGATCAGGTCCCGGGTGTGTAAACATGAAAACAAAGAGCCTTGTGATTCACACGGGACAAACTGATCCTTGTAGCAAAGCTTGATACCAAAACTGATGGTGACAGGTACGCAACAACTTCTGTAGGTGTTCTTGATGATATTTTAGAGCGTGTCATTTCCTGTAAAATGACTAATCATCCTGCAGGATGTGTTGCATCCTGATTTGATACGAAACACATATGAACATGTGTCAGCAGATAGCCTTCACTTGTTTAAATTGTTGTACTCTGTTTGCAATAAACAACTCGTGGTAAATGCAGGAAGCTGCCATGACAATAGAAACATGAGCTTTTTTTGGTGGCATTCTGTGACCTGGTGTTGGCACAACAGATAAACTGACCATATATAGTAAAGTGTAATGTAGATGTTATGTAAAAGGGCAAAGAAATTAGGGTTAAACTAAGTGACTGAAGTGATTACCAGTTGAAGGAAAGAATACACTAGCTGACATATTACCTTCTTAAGCCTGGAAAGTCCACATGTGATCAAAAGTTAATACAGTTAATGTCGGCAAGTGAACATGCTCACAAAGCATGTTTAATGTTTACTTTGGTTTAAGACCAGATATCTGCAAAATCACATTCAAATCTGTGTTTTTCACTAATTAGCAAAGTTTAGCATGCTAAACTTAACAAAGTCCAGCCAATCAAAGACAAAGGTAAATATTGACATGAATGTGGTGCTAGATGAAAAGTTAAATAAGGCAAACACATTTAACCAACTTAAAAAGAAACATTTAAACATCACAGTTTAGACAATATAAATGTCTTTGCCAAGTTTTCACTGTCCATGAGACAAAAATAATACTGACACAGCCATAGCAAGCCATGAAATAAGTGTAAAGGAACTTCGAGACGAGTGGTGATAGACAAACTAGCGCACCAACATCTTAACTACAAGCATGGTTAAAATTCTTTATCTGATTTTCTTTAGCAATGGATATCCATTAGTCAACATAGCAGATGTAAAAATCTATTTCTGATTCTGTTTGCATATTGACCAGTCTAACGGTCAACTTGAGGACCACAATCAGTCCTAGATACTGCATGTACAAAGGCCAGACTGTAACAAAACAACTACACTCTATTCTCTATGGCTGCAGTTGTAGCAGTGGGTGACAGGCAAATAAAAATAGCTGTATGTCACATCTTTGATCGTCAGCGATCTAACCCTAATTTGGCGTGAGGCTGAAAAGAAAATCAACCAGTGATCAGAGTGGGTGC